ATTGAATGAGACTATACATTGATTGTGATGCACTTTTACGATGAGAGCAGCAATGGATGTATCAAGCGAATCCAGCAACATCAGGGTTCTATTCAGATAAGTAGTAGTGGAAGGCTTTAATTTAAAATAACAAGCAATCCGGGCCATAATCTGTTGGACGTTCTATGTAAGTAGCTGAGGTTTAGCCTTACTTCGCCAGGTGAAGAGAAATCTACCGACAACCACAAATTGATCCTCTACTACCAGCATGGCGCTGGTGGTGATCGAGCTCTTTTGCCCCAGTGGCCTAACATTGAATACCCGAGCAGTATCAGCAGCTGAAGAATGCATAGAGAATATGAACAGCCTTCTCTGAGTCTGAAATCTGATCTTGTACTGCACTGAGTCAATGATGACGTACTGGCAATGTCTGCCCAGAGCTGCTGGTGAGATTATGACAGTGTTCAGAGGTCAAAAGAGTTGTTGCCTATCTTTCTCAGTACTCACAGGTCTCATTGAGTTTTTCTTGAGTTCTGAGGCTCTACTGCTTCTGCCGAAGCTGAGTGATAGTAAGACTCTCTGCTTGAGTGGAATAGTATTCAGAGGAATGAACGTAGGCCTTTCTCACCATCTTCATTCTCACCGATGAAATCACTTTCATATCCACTGTCTGAGAAGATGGCATCTAGTGTGGAGACAGTATTTGGGATGAATTCAGCATTCCTCTTGTCAGGTTCAGCCAAACAAGAGAGAGGCACAACCCAAGGAGAGCCGGTAGCAAAGAGAGAAACAGGAATCAAGTAAGCAAAGTCTGAGGTGCTTTCATGGATGAAACCAGCCTAAAAGTGTTGTGAGAGGCAGAAACAAAGAAAGCTGGAGACAAGATGATCAGAATGACAGAGGATGAAAGAGAGATAACATGGTGGCTGAGGTAGAGCCAGAATTGGCATGGGTGAAGTGTCAAACATGGCTCCCCCCAGAGGGCGATGGAGCAGGTGCTTGGGAGTAACGGACCACGAAAACAGTGCCGCGGCTGCCAATATTGTAGTTGGTTGTTTGGTTGTGTGCGTGGAGGCAAGAAGTTATGTGCTGATCAAGGGATGGGCGGTTAGTGAAAGGCAAAAAGCGGCCGTAAAAAGCACCCATATCGGCCCCTGGCCAGCATTATAAGGAGTGATTTTCATGAGAGATGAGTAGAAGATATCAGAAATTGGTTAGTTTAACTAATAGATATCAATTCAGTATATTATCTCTCTCGACTAAGATAAGTATTAATTTGTAGATGTTATGAGATGCAGTATTTTTTATAGTAAATATGAGTTGTTAGATAAATTAAATTCTATTTACTTTATGAAATATTCACAGCAATAGTAATCGACTCTGTCATCCCTAACTCGCCACAACCCCTATTTAAGTAGTGCTGCTCTCGCTAGATAGTACCAATGAACCAACCTTCACCTTGATCAAAAATATTAGTCAAGATGTCTACTAGTAGCTGATAATTGTGTATATGCACTAAGTTATCCATAGCAAAAAGCCAGCGTAAACATTGGTTAAATGGTTGCCGCTCAAAGTGATATATAC